GAATTTTTTACCCTTGACCTAACTTGGTCCAAAACCAAGGTCCAAACACACACTATGAAAGCCCAAAAGCCCAATAATCAACCAAGGCCCAACATATGGCCCAAATTTACAAATTTAGCCCAAACCTCTACATGGACTTATCTTGACGCCCAACCATTTATTCTAGTCTAAACAATTGGCATTTCGACGGCCCAATATCGTATAATCATCAAGTCCCACTTATGGCCCAATTTTCGAAATTGCGCCCAAGCCTTTCCGATGGGCCTTATCCTAAAGCCCAATAATTTCCTTAGTCCACAAACTTGTTCCCATTTGGCCCACGAAGGCCCATAGCAGCCCATCCCAAGAAATGGCCCAACAAGAACCTAAAACCCAATTAAGGTTTTTTCACATAAAATGACGATTAGGGTTAAGTGTTCCTACTTAACCCGTTAAGGACTTAATCCATTAAGTCCAAACATACAATGTAATCGGGCTTGAGTCATAACTTCACTCCAATGGTCCAAAATGCGGGTCCCGATAATTCCAAACTAACATATTCACAATTAGGGTTTTCTAAACCCTAATTAGGGCTTCTAACCCAACTACGCACCAATAAAGTCCAAGATTAAGTTTTTAGGTCCATTAGGGTTTCACTAGGTTGGGCACCACCCACTACCACCTCGAGCAGTGGTGGTCGGCAGCGGCTCATGGTGACAGGCGGTGGCAACCACCATTTCCAATGGTGGTGGCTTATAATTTTAGGCCCAAAATTGTCCAAGCATATCAAGTAGCAACCCCTTTATACACTAATGCACACTGCCACCAAAAACGACGGCTGGTGGTGGCAACACGGTGGTGGTGGTGAGTTTTTCCGGCCAAAAATCTTACATCCAACATAATGCCACCAACACCCGCCTAAAACACAGTAAACACACGCATACAGCCACCTTCCACGGTGGCTAATGGCGACGGGAGATGGCAGCAAGCAGTAATAAGGTAATGGCCACCATGGTGGCTGCCATGGTGGTTCTCACATCTACCGGCCAACAGAGAACATATACACAACTTCAAAATGCAACATCAACACACGCACATGCACGAAATCCATTGAAACACGCACCAACCATCGTGGTGACATGGCGGCGACGGCGACGTGGCTGAACGCAAGACAAAAGAAGAAGGAGGAAAGGGGGACGTTCGAGAGCGATATCGACACTGCCCCGACGTTGGTCTTCAGCAAAACCCATTGTCGTCGGCAGTCACTGCGGTGGTGTCAGCCTGGTGGCTTGCGACCTCGACTTCGTTGGTGACTGGAGCAGCGGTAGTTCAAGATATGGTGTGGATATGGCGGCCAAGAAGGCCCGAAGAAGATGGTGGCAACTGGGAAGGGATGTGCTAGGGTTTCAGATGCTAACCTTAAGACGAGAAAGAAGGGTCACTGGGTATATCCCGTGATATTTCAAACTTTATTTTATTTATCTAATATCAGTCCCTCCGCACAATATTTGTTTTCAGTTTCAATCCAAAACTTACATTTTAGCCCCTACGTCCATAATATCTTTTCAATTTTAATCCAATATTTACCATTCAGCCCTTCTCTTCAAGATTTTATTTCAATTTAAATCCAGAATTTACCAAACCACCCTTAACCTCCAAAATTCTTTACAAACTAATCCGAAAATTACAGTTTAACCCCAAACAACAACGCCTTGCTAAATATTATTGATTTTGCTATAAAATAATAATAATAATAATTACATATCGGACTTTAGAGTTTATTATTCATTTAATTGATTTTAAACGGGATGTTACACTTGGACCATTTTCCTACCAAACAAACTTGTATAGCTGTGGTATTTGACATTTCTTTTTCCTTATGTTTGGTTTGTAACAACTCTACAAAACGATATTCGGCATGTGCTCATTAAGTGTTAAGTGACGTCCCAAATTCTTCTCAAGATAAATCGTTGGTGTGATATATGTTTGTATAATCTTATTTTTATCCGTGATTTACGTGTTTTTTGGATTCATTGTATATATCCATGACTCGTAAAGCAGTTTTAGAGGTGATCATAGTCACTTTGTGGTAGCATTATTACCATGCACTTATTTTTTAAAGGGAAAAAATATTTTATATATTTAAAAGGTTTTGTATTTCATAAATAATAATATATCATAATTTTTTATAAAATAAATATAGTTGTATAAGTTATTATTTCTGAAACACAAACATAAATATATTATATGTTTAAAAGGTTGAACTATTTTAGCATAGTTAACAGACGTTTTTTTAATTTTGCTTTGAAAAGTTTAAGTATTAATTAATAAACATATTTAAATTTTGATACAACAAAATAATTTTTTAAAATTTAAATATCAAAAGTTTATATCGAATCAATATAAAATTTATCGTACTTAAAAGTAAAAATATGTTTCGGTTTTGGTTTCATATATATAAAGACGGTAAAATTTATATTGGTTTGATATAAACTTTTGATATTTAAATTTTAAAAACTATTTAGTTTTATCAAATTTTGAATATGTATTTATATTTTATGTGTAAAATCTTAAGGGTTTTTATGCAAAATATTTATAAACTTAAGTTTTTTTTTTTTTTTCAAATAATATTTTATGGTAACCTAGAAACATGTTATTATAAGTAAAAATGACATAACTAACAAATTTACGGCATAAACAAACCAAAAATCCGTCGGAGGATAAAACCTATATTTTTGTTCAAACTTAAGTTTTTTTATGGCAAGTTATGTTTGTTAAACCGTAAACATATCTTGTGACATATTGTTTGATAGAACCACATGAAACATACCGAGTACCTCCACATCATTATTTTACTAACACCCCGTTCCCAAGTTCAACTTAACGAGAGAAAGGAAAGGAAATAGGTAGAAATGAGAAGAAAATAAAAGTAATTGATGTTCCCGAGTTTCATTAAAGGAGGGAAGTGGAAGGAAGTGGAGGGAAATGAGAGGATTAATTTTTCTTCTAACTTTCCTTCCGATTTGGGAGGATTTGGAAAGAAAGAACAAAATGATTTATTTTCCTTCCGCTTCTCTCCAACTCGGGAACACAAATGAAAATTTTGTTTTCCTTTCCTTTCTCTTCTTTTCTCTCGTCACTTTCTTTTCTCTTCTCTTCTTTTCTTTTGTTACACTCGGGAACGAGGCGTAACATTTGTACTTGGAATCCTCGAAACCGTGTATGTGACTAGGAGTTAACATGGATGAGAGTACGAGGACTTGAGGGTAAGTCGCATATATGTGATGCGTGTTTTTATACTACGATATGTTATGCGAGTTTATGTTGTTATTAGTGTAATCAATAATGTTATATGTAATGGTTATTTGGGGTTTTAATTTATAAAATCTTATTTTTTAAAGAAAATTTCAAGTTAACCGGTTTATATCTCACTCCCCTCATTAATGTAAGCATTCCGTCGTTTCCTCATTCCTCTCTAACCTTGGAAATTGTTATCTCTCACTTCCCTTTATTTTTTTTAATAAATATATTTTATACAAGAGTTTCAAACATGTATAAATAATGACGGGTGATAATCATGTTACGTTCGTGTTGATAGGTTGGCGGGTCATATAAGCTCAACCCGAACATGACCCATATAAGTATTCGTAGCGTTTTGCTCAACCTTAACCCAAATTAGTCGTAAATAGATCAACTCACATAACCTGTTTAATTATATGGGTTTGCAGGTTCGTTTGTCAAATTCAAGTTTGTGACTCAAAATCGAGTTCGTGGGTCATAGAAAAACTCAGCCCAAACAAATTTATCTTTGTTCGTGTCGTTTTTCAAGTCGTGTCGAAAATTAACAACCCTATAAATTGTTGGGGAAAAACGAAATAGGGTTATTGGAAATCTGGATTACAAACAGAAATCATGTTAACACATTCCTTGTTTGATATTTCGACCCTATATGCCTAGGGTATCACGAAATCCAAACTTGGGATAATTTCTGATGCATCAATTTCGATTTAAGGCACAAAATCAGAACAAATGAAGAAGATGAAGTGTAAAAAGGTTTTGTGTTTTCTTATGTGTTTCAATTGCCGTTTTCACAGGTTTATCCAATCAACGGATAAGTCACAACAATTTCCATCTTTCCCCGAACCCCGCCTTGACACAGTAGATTACGGTTCAGTAATAATAATATTTAGTAAATACAAGTGTACACTCACGCACCTCCTAACTTGTATTATAACTAAAATATTATTCTTGAAACACTTGTTAATTCCATTACACTAAAATATATTTGGTGATGAAATCACCAACATTAATAATATATCAATACTATACTTTATTTATAAGGAGTTACAACTAAGAATTTTAGTATATATATTTTATATTTTTTAATATATACATAATTTAAAATTATATTACAAAGACTGAAGGAAAAAAAAAAAAAAAAAAAAAAAGTTGGTGTCTAGTCACCCCTAAACACACCTGCATGTGTGGTTACCGTTCCTACGGTGATGCCACCATGGCATATCTGCATGGTACGGTGCTCGTACTTTATTTAGTATAGATTTGTTTCTATTGAACATTATTTAGCTATTTTGATTTTATTCATATCTCTATTAAGTATACCAAAAGTCCAAAACACATACCTGAATGCCCCCATTTGGTATATAAAAGCTAACCGAAATGATAATGGAATGGTAATCATACATTTTGTTATAATATTCATATCAAACTTGTAATTTTGACCACTTTTACATTTTCCCTCCAACGAAAAATACGCTATCCAGAAAAACCTTAGATGATTAGATCAGATGATGTTCAGTTAATTTACATAAAGAATTATACTTATCATGATAACATAAAAGTATCAAGTTTAAATGATGAACTTGTACATTTGTTTAGTGAATTACTAACGAACAGATCTAACTCTCAAAATTTACTCTTAATGTCAAAGAATTGAAATCAAATGTGATCATAAAAGAATGATCAAATACATCAAAATCTAAAGAATCTTAGAACAAAAATCTCTATCTTCGTCTTTTATATGGTGTTTTGATTTTCTTGCCTTTCTTTAGTGCGTTGTCAATGGTAAAGGGAATCTGATTTTCCCACGCTCTTGCATTCACATTTACTGGGTTTTGTTGGACATTTTCAGGCATTCTTTGCTCTTCGTGATTATGTGCATTTGCGTTCAGTTCTTGTTCTTCATCAGGGTTTCCAGCGCGATTCTCAACATTTTCAGACGATTCTTGCTCTTGATTTCTGCCATGATTAGAAGAACTAGCGGCATTTTCAGTCCCACTTTCCTCTATAATTACAGAAGCACCTGCTTCTTCCCTCTGTTTTTCCTTCATTTTTTCAAAGTTTTCTTCAAGAGTTTTCACATCTTCAGTCGTTCTTTGTTCTTCGTCATTCTTGGCTTTTTCGTTAGATTCTTGCTCTTCATTTTCGCCATGACTTGAAGAACCAGAGGCTTCGTCTTCCATCTTCAATTTTTCCAAACGGTATGTGTAAACAGATCGATATCTAGCAACATTTTCAAGAACAGTAGACTCTTCAACTTCACTACCAACATCAAACAGTACCTCCCCAAATTGCTTCAGAAGAGATATGGCGGATTTTAACTTCTCCGGACTCCAATCACGTGCCAATATTGTTATATCTTGTATCTCCACGTTTTCTGTTGATACTTGTTCTTCAATCGTTCCAACAGTCTTTTGCTCATCTTCTTCGTTTGGATTGATTTCCAGATTCTTGAGGTTTTCATTTAAATCTTGTTCTACATTTACGCCACGAACCTCTTCGTCTTTTTCATCTTTCACGTCAAATGCTTGCATTCCTTCGCTCTTGAGATCCTCGATATTTGCAGGAGATTCTTGCCCTTCATTTTTGACATGACCAGAAGAACTAGACGCTTCTTCTTGCTTATTTCCTTTTCGATTCGTGGAAAAGACTTCAGCCACTGTCGTCAATCCAAGTTCATGGATGGGATCGTACAATTCTCGCCCAATCAACGCTTCCATTGATATCCCGAGAACTGATTCGACTCTAAAGTGAAAAGCTGTCAATGAATTCCAATCAATCTCCATCTTCGTCTATAATTTGAATCAAGAAATCGAAATAGTAATATACGCTCTGTTTTCAGAAGAAAAATAAGGAGGGTACAGGTGCTAAGTGCTCTAGTCTGCAACTCTATGGCCCACTGAAGTATATATAGAGGTTACTTGAGGTGTTGAGTGGATTAGACAAATGGCCCTTCGATTTCTGATTAACTGTCATTTCGGGTCCCTTGTTAACTTATTTTCCATCGTAGTAAGTAGAATGTACATCTAATATTTTGAAAATGATCTAGAAAATTCCTGTTAAGTATTAATCAAATGAGGCTATCAACGGTCGTGTGTACGTATCTGGGTTCAGTTTAGATGGCTGATAGCGCAAGGATCATCTGAAAATCTAATTTAACTAAAAATACAAAAAGAAAAAATCTTTTGAAAAACCAAGATTATATTATGACGAATCAAATTAAGGAGGTACATTTGAGATTTCGGTACGACAGTTTGGACTATTGTATACATCAACATCAACATGATAATGATAATTATTTAACATGTTACATGTATTGTGTCATTACTTTTATTTGTACATATATTTTTTTAGAACAGCTACAAAAACCCTCACCGCATGCGATACCAATGGCCTATAAATCTTATCAAGTTTTACAGTTATTGATTTTGATGTTTATATTCTTTAATATTCATATATGTTCTTTTATGTTTATCACTGTTTGTTTATGTCCATTGCTTTTTTTTTTTCCATCTTTTTGTTTGCTTATTTATATTCGTTTAACATCTTAGCGAGCGGGCAAAAATAAGGTAATTTGATAAAGAAACAAAAAATCGTTTGTTTGGTAGTTTGTACTCATTTGTTTGTTCGATTAAACGCAAATGCATGAACATGAACAAACATGTGTTTGTGCTTTGTTATCGATAATTAGGCTAAACTGGCTTCTATTTCGTTTTAATCTTGATAGGAAACACATAGAGGTGGAGACCATCTTACACCTACTTGTGATATTTTCCTTGAGAAGGCCGATCATCTATTGATAAACAAACAAAAAATCGTTTGTTTAGTAGGTTATTTATTACTCGTTGGTAGGATTTGGACATTCCACCATTTTAGTTAAGGGAGGATCTATATAGGTGTCCGGGGTAGCGTATTGTATCTATTAAATTTTCAGACGCAGTGTTTGAGAATATTTTTGGTGTAGTGCAATTTTTGAGTGTGCTACCCCATAAATTTACGTGTGCTACCCATGACATTTCGATCTGGCTCCGCCAAAATCAATACCGCCAAAATCAAAAGTTCCACCAAAATCAAAACCATATCGATTCCTCTACACCACTCTATCTATCAAAAGATTCAAGTAAATTTGTTACAACACCAATTACATTTAGGTATCATTAGAAAGCTCATGTAAAAGTAATGCTTTGATATTAAATGATGATTGATGGCCTTACAACTCTATCAATCACATCTTTCTAAGAATTTTTTTAGAACATACGAATCCATAACCATTTCTTGGTCAAGCTAGATTTGTTATAGCATGACAATGTCACCAAGACGATGATGCAAAAATAGAGACAACATAGTGGCGATACGCATAGCGCCTAGTATCCTTCGTTTACGGCTAGGACTGGGTATCTAATCCCATTCGCTCCCCTAGCTTTCGTCTCTTAGTGTTAGTGTCGGCACAGTAGAGTACTTTCGCCGTTGGTGTTCTTTCCAATCTCTACGTATTTCACTGCTCCACCAGAAATTCCCTCTGTCCCTACCGTACTCCAACTTGGTAGTTTCCACCGCCTGTCTAGAGTTGAGCCACGAGATTTGACGGCGGATTTAAAAAGCCACCTACAAATGCTTTAAGCCCAATCATTCCGGATAACTCTTGCATCCTATGTATTACCGTTACTGCCGGCACAAAGTTAGTCGATGCTTATTCCCCAGATATCGTCATTACTTCTTCTCTGGGAAAAGAAGTTCATGACCAGTGGGCCTTCTACCTCCACGCGACATTGCTCCGTCAGGCTTTCGCCCATTGCGGAAAATTCCCCACTACTGCCTCCCATAGGAGTCTAGGCCGTGTCTCAGTCCTAGTGTGGCTGATCATCCTCTCGGACCCGCTACTGATTATTGCTTTGGTACACTATTACCTCACGAACTAGCTAATCAGACGCGACCCCCTCCTCGGGCGGATTCATTCTTTTGCTCCTCAGCCTACGGGGTATTAGCAGCCATTTCCAACTGTTGTTCCCCTCCTAAGGGCAGATTTTTACGCGTTACTCACCCGTCCGCCACTGGAAATACCACCTTTCGTCCGACTTGCATGCATTAAGCATGCCACCATCGCTCATCCTCAGACATGATCGAACTCTCCATGAGATTCATAGTTGCATTACTTATAGCTTCCTTGTTCGTAGACAAAGCGAATTCGGAATTGTCTTTCATTCCAAGGCCTAACTTGTATCCACACACTTCATATTCGCCCGGAGTTTGCTCCCAGAAGTATAGCAATCCCTGCCCCCTCGCGTCAATCCCACGAGACTCTTATCCAATCTCATTCAATCACGGCAGGGTAGCAAATCAAAATATCAAAACTCACATTAGGTTTAGGGATAATCAGGCTCGAACTGATGACTTCCACCACGTCAAGGTGACACTCTACCGCGGAGTTATATCCATTCTCTGCCCCTATCGAGAAATAGAACTGATTAATCCTAAGCCAAAGGGTCGAGATACTCAACGACACTATTCCTAAACAACTTGGGGCCGGGCCTTCTTTTTTTCCGCACTATTACGGATATGAAAATAATGGGAAAATAGAATTCAATTGTCAACTGTCCCTATCGGAAATAGGATTGACTACGGATTCGAACCATAGCACATGGTTTCATAAAACCACATGATTTTCCTAATCTAAATCAAGCAGGTTTTACATGAAAAAGATTTAGCTCAGCGTGTTCTATTCGATACGAGTAGTTAAGCATGGGCTAATTCAAATGCATTTTGAGTTATTTGGAAATTATTGTGGTTTTTAAAATTGCATTATGTATCAAAAGAGAAGCAAACTAAGAACATTATTAGGGTCAATAAAAATATTATCATCGCCTCCGCATTAAAAGCCTGCTCGTTGAGATGCAAAATTTCACAAATAGAGTCCAGGGTTTAAACATTGGTAATGTGCCGTTAAGATGGTCTAATTTACCTTTTTTTTTAATGTTTTATTTTTTCAAATTATTGTTTGGTGTGGCACAAATCATCGATAAAGTAAGGGAAAGTTGATTTAGGTAGCATGGATATGTCCCAGAGAGAGAGAGAGAGAGGGGGGGGGAGAGAGAGAGAGAGAGAGAGATGTTGGAATCCTAAGTCTTGGGGTCCAAGCAATCTAATTTATGGAAAGTTTAGTTTATGGCAAGTTGGTCATAAGTTTCCTAGTCTAATACAAGTTGGTATGTTAGTCTATATATAAGTGTCCATAATCGAGTTTATGATTATGATAACAGATTGTAAAACATTGGTTTTGAGTGATTTTCCAATTAATCAAAGAGTTATTTTGGTTATTTGTTTTGCATTCTTGTTTTCAAAACTTTAATTGGTATCAGAGCTTAGGTTGAGAAGCTATGAGATCGATTTGTACCTGTTGACGAGTCAGGTCAACATGACAGATACAGGGGGAGAAGGAGAAGCTCCGGTGAGAGTGAAGGAGGTTGGGACAACCTCAGTTTCGTGTCCGATGCTCACATCCACTAACTACACCGTGTGGGCAATGCGTATGAAGGTTGTCTTGCGCATCCACAAAGCCTGGACTGTGATTGATCCAGGAACTGATGTCAATGAAGAAAATGACTGCCTTGCCATGGGTTTGCTATATCAAGCCCTACCAAAAAACCTCATAATGCAGATCGGAGATCAGGATTCAGCCAAGAAATTATGGGATGCGATTAGAGCACGTAATGTGGGAGCAGATAGAGTCAAAGAAGCGAGATTACAAACCTTGATGTCAGAATTCGATCGCCTGAAGATGCTCAAGTTAGAAACAATCGACAACTTTGCCGGAAAGCTGTCCGGAATCGCGTCTACATCGTCGGCATTAGGAGAAACGATTGAGGAATCAAAATTGGTGAAGAAATTCCTTAAATCATTACCCAGAAACTTCATTCACATCGTTGCATCTCTTGAACAGGTACTAGATTTAAAATCGGTAGGGTTTGAAGACGTAGTGGATCGATTGAAGGCATATGAAGAAAGAATAAGGGAAGTCGATGCTCGAGAAGGACAATCGAGGGTTCTATTTGCTGAAAAATCGACCGAAGATAGAGGTGGGTCGTTGACTGGTGGGGGTAACTCATCGGGAACAAAGGGAAACTGGAAAGGATCGAATGGGTCTAATAAAGCGAATGAGTTTAATAGGACTAATGGGTCGAGTGGATCCGGGTCTGGAGGGTCACATGGGTCAGGCGGGCCCAAAGGGAATAATAGGGTTTCTCAAAGCAATCGGCCCAATAAACTGTCCAATTCTAATTCTGATTGCAAAAATTGTAATTGTTGTTGTGGCAAGAATCGGAAAAATAGGGAAAAGGATCGATCTAAGGTGATTTGTTTTCGGTGTGACAAACCGGGTCACTTTGCTTCTGAATGTCCGGAACGACTCCAAAAATTACAAGACGGTGATTTTTCGGAACGTGACGACAGTGACGAATCCGTTTTTTAAATACGGATCGGGTTGAAGAATTCTCTAGAAGGACTTAGAGATTCGGGGTGATTGTTGGAATGCTAAGTCTTGGGGTCCAAGCAATCTAATTTATGGAAAGTTTAGTTTATGGCAAGTTGGTCATAAGTTTCCTAGTCTAATACAAGTTGGTATGTTAGGCTATATATACGTGTCCATAATCGAGTTTATGATTATGAGAACAGATTGTAAAACATTGGTTTTGAGTGATTTTCCAATTAATCAAAGAGTTATTTTGGTTATTTGTTTTGCATTCTTATTTTCAAAACTTTAAGAGAGAGAGAGTGAGAGAGAGAGAGAGAGAGGGGAGGATGTGAAACTTGACATGGAGGGGTATGCTTTTTCGAGGGACATGTCTTCATGTAGGAGGCTTAATATCATGGTTGGGGAGTAGCCTAGCCCTCTTATATGTTTTTATATATTTAGGTATATGTTTGTGTCTTATATTTAGTGTTGTTATATGCTTCACGTATTCCAATTATATTTGTTTATGACTTACTATGCACTTTGTCTTACTCACCCTTGTTTGCCTCATCTCCAGGTACCATCCTTCTATATATGTTGTAGGTCATTTATGTGAAGCTCATGTACTTCTTGTAATGGAGGCATGATTATTGACATCTACCTTCTATAACCCTATTATTATGGAATTCCTGAGATTTGTTGATGTATTTGTCATGTCTTAAAATATGTGTTAATGTAATTTTTTTTACTAGTAATGTTTAAACCAATAATTGATTCATTTACCTACGGGTTAATCACTAAATTGACCAAACTAGATTGGTTCTACGACAAGATAACTATACTTTGAACATTTACTAAAAATAAAATCGTTCATTTAACACAACAACTTCATTTTTTCAGGAAACGAAATCAACCTTTGCAGAATGATGGCATTTCACCCAAAAGAAAAAAAAAATTGATTGTTTTAAAGACTTTTGCAATAGAGACCATCAGACCATTGATATAGCAATTTCAAGAAGATTTTTTTTTTTACTAGAGTCTACTTTGTAAAATGGCTGGTTTATCATTTCGTGATAAGGCGTACTCATTTTGGTTGTTTTAGTGATTAAGCATTTTAAGTTTTAATCATTATGTATTAACATGATGTTTTGAAAAAAATATATACAGGCATCCTGTAAAAAATAAATAAATAATAATAAAAAAAAATTCTTAAAGCCCTTTTAAGTTTTGACAAAATATATTTATATTCTGGATATGGCGAATCCATATAAGACACTGATATTAAAATCGACGATACATAAAATTGTTGGATCAGAAAATTAAATAAAACTTGAACAAGTAGTAAATATAATTCATTAAATGAAGCTTTAATTAAATATGTTTATATTTTTTGTAACATATATTGTAGAGTAAATTACACATACGGTCCCTGTGGTTTGTGGTAATATGCGGATTTAGTCCCTAAATTTTTTTCTTAACTCGTACAGTCCCTAAAATGTATTTTGGTTGCACGTTTGGTCACTGTGTGACTTAAAAAGACTATCACGCTCTTATTAATATTTTTTCTAATTAATTTTATGATTTATATATTTCTTCTATAATTAAGTTTTTTTTATTTATATAATAATAATAATAATAATAATAATAAAGATATTCCTAAAAGCTAAGCAAGGTTTACCATCACCTTCAGCTGATTCTTCTTCTTCAAACTTCAACTCTCCTCTTCGACTATCACCCACCACTTGACTTACCACACTTGTTGATATAGAATTGCCTGAGATCCATTGTCGTTCTACCGGTGTCCATCACCACTACCACTCTATCGCCTACTACACACCCCACCTTATCAGATCTCTTTTTATTTTCCTGAAATCTTCATCGATGCCTCCTCTTTTCTTGCTGAAAAGCTACAAGCATTTCGTTCCTATTTTCTCGACTCAAGATCAGCGATGAAAATGAAGAGTGCGATGGTGGTTTGTCGGTGGTGAAGGGCCAGAAAAAGAAGGTGTGTCGGAGGGTAAGCTAGACTTCAAGCCCTGCCCATTAGGTTTGAGTTCATCTGATGATTCAATGGATTTGATTATGCATCTCGATTGGAAAGGATTTTGATTTCATCTGAACTTTAGGTTAGACCTAATTTCGATAGATTGGAAAGGGTGAAGCTGGAAAATGGATTTGATTCGATGGTTAAGCCTAATTTCGGTTAAGTGGTTGTCTCTTCCATCTTCAGCTTTCCCTCTCTCCGTCTTCGTCCTCTTCTCACCAGAAAAACTTGACCCATGAAGTCTCCGGTGATGGGGTGGTCAGAGAAGAGGACTGGACCTCAAAAGGGGCGTTTCCCCTCTCCGTCTTCGAGCTTTTCATTTAGGGAAATGATGGTTGTGTTTATTAGAACTTTAGTTCAAGTTTTGGGTTTCAATATTTTTTCTAGTGGATGATTCAAGAATTCCATATTTAATTATTGGGTTTTGATTTAATATTGAAACTTTAGTGAATTGGTAGAAATCAGGTTTTTAATTTTACAGGTTTTTTCCTGGTGGAAATAGAGGGTTGAAGTTGAACATTTTGGTTTTTCGGCAAGGTAAGTGGCGGCCTTGCTGGACGGAGAAGAGGATGGTGATGGTTGAGGTGATGAATTGGGGTTGGGTGGGTGGGCTCATTGTTGTAATATATGTACATAAATTAATAAACCAAAAGAGAATTATAAATAATGATATATAAAAATAAATAATCAAAAAAGAAATAGGTAAGGGTAATATAATCATTTCAAGTCTGGAAATGACTAAATACGAAGCAAAATCAAACTATAGAAACACTATAGAAACGGTTCGAATTAAAAAAATAAGTTAGGGACTAAGTACGTAAATTACCTCAAACCATAATGACTATTCATGTAATTTACTCTATATAGTACAACAATAATAAAATGCTAAAATGTATTTTTATAGCTTTGATTTCGTGTAAATGTCAAAGTCTTTAGAACAAAACCAATTATAATAAGGTTTCTTAAAATATGTAAATGTAACTCCATAATTTTTTTCCCGAATATGGAAGTGAAAGATAACACATGAAAGTAAAATGATGTGTTTATCTATAATCTATATACTGAGTTATTGACCAAAACATTTTTATAAATATACAAATATACCATATACAATATGAATGGGAAATATGCATGATCAACAACACAAATCATGGAGATTTAGAGTATCTAATCCACCTTTTTTTTGGTACACAAAAAGGCAATTTTTACCTCACTAACCATCCATATATGATTGATTATATGATCAAACACAGTGCAACGTTCTGTCTCATCCACAAACAATGCTGTGAAATATTTGGTTACTTTATACATGACAAATACACAAATGAATCCTATAAAAAGCAAGATATTTTTAAAAGATTTTTACGCAACAATAATCACATAATATGATCCTAAAATAGGTTGGAAGTGCTCTATCTTGATTTTGTGCATGAATTTCAAGATTCACAAAGTAATTAATCCCCCTTAAAAGATTTTCTAAGCAAGTATTGCTCAAACGGTCAAACCCAACATATCAAATACAATATTCAACATTGATTTAAAAGGGTCACATTTTCATATCAAAGCTTCTATGTATAACATCATCAATTTGGGGTAATCAAAATTCATGGTAGAATTCACAAAAAGGTTAAACAGGATAGCCATTCAATCATTTGGCTCTACAGTATAAATTGGATTATAGTATCTTTATTTCTGAATTTAACAAAGTCATGTAAACGATTCTCAGTTATTTCTCTCAATTACCTCAAAATTTCGGTTCAAAATCATTGACTTTCCTGTTTTTGTTGCTGATCCTCTGATTTTGAATCTACTGCAACCTTTTCTTCTTTTTCCTGATCTAACTGATTGTGTACTTCTTGCTCAGCGTCCTTTTCTGCTTGCAAAATCACGCCGTAGTAATCCGGATGAGCCTCCATACATTTCTTCAAAGCTGATGTAGCATCGAAACACTTGTTCACGATATCTTCATCGTTCTTTTCGCCTTCTTCAACGCATTTTTCCCAGTTGATGAATGTTTCTCTACACTCGCCTCCTTTCATGAACAAGCAAAATCCACATTCTCCTTCTTCTTCTTCCCCATCTTGATTTCCTTTTTCTATGTCTACTGGAGATGGATCTGTGGATTCGGGATTTAGGTTTTTCTTTTCGTTTTCGTTTTCTTGTATTTTTGGTACTTCAGCGATGGGTTCTGGTTCTGGGTTTAGGGGTTTATCAGATGGGGAGGTAGACATGGAGGTTGTGGCGGCGGCGCGGTGGATTTAGGGTTTTGTTCGGCGGAATTGACGGAGATGAGGAAGAAGATGCTGGAAAACAACTTCCCGAGATCAAGATTCTTCAAACTTTTCAACTTAAATCCTTTCGTGGCTCTCTCCGTTGGAATTTTTGGGATTATTTTGCTGTTTCTTTATGGACCTTTTTTAAAAGGATTTCTGGAAACCTAACAAAGTGTGGCTTGAAAGTCACGAAACATGACTTGGGATTATTTTGACCACTTACAAAATTTGCACTCTATTTGTAATTTTGTATATAATTTCTAATAGATAAATTTAATGTTTGTCAAAAGATGACTAAATTTGAGTTTTGCCTATTTTTAGATGCATTAAGCTTTTCGTATACCAATTAAGTTTAGTAAAATTGTACTTACTAGACTAACGGTGGACCCAGGGAAAAAAAAACCAGAGATTGTATAATTTTTTTAAGGGTTGTATTATTAAAAAAATAAAAAAAAAGATGGATTTGAATGAATTTACACTAAGCTTTTCCCACATAGGGCAGTAGGGATACTATAGTATCCAAAAAAAATTGTTTTATATATATGAAAAAAAATATTTATAAATATGTTCTATGTTATTGTATCTTTAGCTAAAGATATTGTACTATGTTTTTTAATGTCTAGGATAAGATAACTATATAGAATATACATTTGACAACGTTTGTATCTCGTATCAATTTTTTTGGCTTTGCCACTGTTTGCACTTGATGGTAAAATTAGAGGGATTGGTTGTGCCTCCTTGGACACCAAGTAGGTATGCTCCTGTTCGGGACATAAAACTACATTTTGGTATTATCATAAGACAAAAAAACAATTTTTTGAGTGTGTATGAGTACAATGCTCATGATTTTCTTTTTGATATTCCTATAGATTATCGACACCAACATATGAAACCAATGGAGTATCGTACTATCCTCAAGTATCGTTTCACGATTCCACTATTTCGGTTGATAAGATATACCAAGTTTGTCACAAGACATGTTTTCGACACCTTTGGAAAGCACACATTTAATTAGAGAGCACCAGTGTTTCAAGTATCAATACAACTAGGCTAATGCCATTCTTTTTGACATACTTAGGCATGTCGAGGTTTCTTCTAAGAAAGAAGCACTCGAAATTTCTTGACTAACTCTTTGGGAGGAAGAGCAACAGTCAGACCTAACTGATGTTTGGTTATTCAGATAAATAACAGGAAAACACACATGTGTGGATCTAAATAGAGGTTTTCCTTCTCACAGACTTGAGGATTGGAGGGTTCACCGTAAGACATTCTACTTTTAAAGATGTCTCGTGCAAAGTATCATATGAGAAATTGTGCTTGAGTAATTAACATGTGCTTTATACAGTTATGAATACAAGGATTTAACGCGTTTCACCCGATCAGAGTATTTGAGTTATATCCATAGACAAAATAGGAAACTCCTTAATAAGATCCAACGAGTCATTTATGGTAATGTTTTGACCTCAAATCCATGAATGTAGCTTTTAAAAGAATTAGTTTTGCATCTCAAAAACGGGTTAACAACACAGTTGTTTGTGTTCCATCTTGAAATAAATTTTAAATGTCCTGTGAATGGGAGTTCATGATTGTTGAGCTCATTTTTTTTTAATTTAAATATTATTTTATTTCTATGAAATTTAAAAAAAAAAATTGATTATTGGTCCAACATTAAAAAAGTTTTGAAGGAGATAAAACAGTTGTTAAAGTTTTTTTTTTTTTTTTTTTTGGTTAAAGACGGATAGTATGGATCGAGATTAATGGTCTTCCATTGTCCATGTGGTGTTCTAATGCATTTAGTAAAGTCGCTTTTGCATGGGGGTAGGTCATTTTTCAAGATGAAGGCCAATATTATGGGGTGTTTGGTTTAGCTTTTGAATGTTCAAAAGTTCTTTTAGAAAAAGATCATAAGCAAAAGATGTTTGACAAAAGACTTCTAAAATCTACTTTTAGATTTTGCGAAGAAGGAAAATCAAATTTTTGGAAAAGTTAGGAAAACCTGATTTTTTATAACTTTTCCAAAAAGATCTTTTGGCCTCTAAAAAGCTAAGTCAAACACCTCCTTAGTACATTTTCATGTGATAGAATAATAGAGTTTGTATCAAAACTTCTATTTTCTCATTCACTTATGAGGAAATTATGATTATTGTAGAAGAGATTGACTATATAGTTAAAGCAAGAGAGATACAATGGTGGGTTCCAACTACTATTAAAGAATCGAAGGATAACGAAAGTGATGCAAATCAGCAAATTTCCTTGACCATAATAACTTTAATTCAGCCCGATGTATGTTCACCTCTGGTCCTCTACTACGGGGTAAAAATCCAACCCAAAAAAACCCAGAGGTATCCTTAGGCTGGGGAGCTTGGCTGGCATGGTTAAAAAAGCAGGATATGTTTTATGTTATTAATTTATTATTATTGAAATACAAAAAACAAACAAATGACTTGAATCCGTTGGAAGATATTATAACAAGCGAAAAACGTGTATTTGTTCATGTCTTTAAGAAATTGCATCTCAAATACATAAATATGTCAGGACTGATAACACTTCGTGGTATATAACTAGGCGCATTAACATTTATTATATGTTAGGACTAATCATAATCCATTTGCTTATTAAGCTTCACATATCAGGAGTTGTTGGAAAGGTGAGATAGAGGGTTCACATATCAGGAGATGCATTTTGGATTTTGCAAGCATATGGATCAGTTTTTTATACCTAATATCAAACATATGAAGCTTCACTCGTTTGAGAAATGAAGAAATATAGTTTAAACAACAAGAATCAAGAGAACCAAAAAGAATACAACAGTACACGAATCTGATGAATTTCAAATCTACCATAGAAGCTACCTTGAAAAAGAAACTGATCATTGACCATTGCCAGTTGTACAAAAGTCCAAATAGGAGAGAAACATGTCTATCATGACATTCTATGTCTATTATGAGTTTCCAAACAAGATTTAAAATGATTATGAATCTGTGATCAACTGGTGGAATCATTTTGTCCGTTTGTGTCTCTAAGCCCACTGCAACAGAAGAAATGAGGCAATTTCACTCGCCCACAAACCCTGCAACAATAATGTAAGAAAAAAAGAGCCAAATAAGAAAAGAAGTCCAAAATTACATAATGCTAGATAGCAAAAACTAATAGTGCAATAAGTGAAAAGAAAAAAAAAATGTCAAGAAATATTAAGAAGAAGATGCAAATCCATCAAAAACTTTTCTACTCCTGTAATATTCAAAATCGAAAGGAGAGGCCTCACTTGCAACGTATGATCACTGGAATTGGCTTGAGTGCTCTTGGTCCATTTCTTATTCCACGTTTATGAGGAGACGTCTGCATTATACACAATACTTAAAAAAGCACATCAGAAAAAAAAAATAAAAAATTCTAGGGCCCACTTTTGTTATACAGAACAAAACATGTTGTACTATGTTTGATGTGAACCGCACAAACATTGCAAACTTTTGTACAACAAAAAATGTGGAATAGCGACTGCTCTAAATCACTCATCTGTGCAAAAGACTCGAATGCCATTGCACCAAAAAATGCTAACAAAATGGAAAATATATCAAGTTTTGATGTTTTGGCAATTAGCTTCAAACTCTGTATCTAATTTGCATAACCAAGCTTCCCAACTTAGCAATATGGCTCATCTCCATGCTCCAATTGAGATCATACAATCATGTCCTAAAATTAGGGTTCAAGTGAAATAGAAAAGTGAAGTGAATCCCTAATTGATTTCGTTCCAATCCAATACTTCGATTACTATATTGCAACAAATTACAAAACCCTAAACCCTAAAGCAATAATGCTCAGTACCAATAACCCAAATCTCTAAAATATTCAACTTAACGGCAATCCAATCTAAGATGCAAAATGTAAAGCAGACATGCAATAAAAATATACGATTTTAGGGAAAATGGTGGAACTTATAAAATATTAGTTATATTAGAATCGATAAATTTACCTTCTTCTTCGGGACGGCCATGAGCTCCATAGATCCGCTGCCAACATAGAAACCGGACCCGATTTCATTATTGAAGGTGTCTATTCTTTTTTCGAATTCAGGCAAAACCATCGGTGGTACTGCGGCTGATCGATTTATCGCACTGTCCAGAGGCGGCGGCTGCGCGATGGCGTGAGTCCACCTTGAGAAAACCAACATACAACAATTCTTGCTCTCACCGGCGATGCTTTTCGCTATTGACATCCTCAACAACGCCATCGTTGTTCTACAGTACTACTGTTTACGGTGTGTCTGCGGGTGTTAAGAGAGGGGGTGACGCAATGAAGAAAGAGGTTAACGAGAAGAGTATCTATATGTGATACGACATCGTTCGTAAGCTTTGATAAAAATTCATAATGACGAAAATATCCCTACGAAAAACAATTGGATCAAACATATTTTTTTGAATAAATTGTTGAAATCGTCGCATGTGGTTCGCTTGCTAAAATTGTCTTTTTAGTCTCTCTAACTTTTTTTTTTTCATTGGACCATCTTATAGTATTACTTCATTGCGTTTTCAGTCCCTAACACATGTAGAAATATAATATTGCCTTTGTTTGTTTCTATTTTAAATTTATTTTTATTTATGCATTACTCTTTTAATTAAAAAGATACTTGATAAAAGATTTGGTCCCAACTAGGGATGAACATTTGGACCGAGGAATCGGCTGGAACCGGATATAACCGATCGGGGCGAGACTGGAATGATATTTTTGTGGATTTTTGGAAACGGGGACTGGTAGAACCAGCAAAAACTGGAACTGTATGTTGTTATTTCTCGAGGACCGCTTCCAACATTGAGGACACGGCAAGAACCGGTAGAACCAACGATCCGGTTTGGTTCCTATTTTCCACCAAGTTAGGTTTCAGTTCGGGTCAGTTCCGACGCTCATCACTACTATCATCTTCACCCTTCTCTCTCTTTCACTCTTACCTTAACCCTTCT